GGGGGACAGCCAACTGCCATTCGATGATGACGATGACTATGATGATGATGAACGCTTTGACGGTGATAGTTGCGGCCTTCGCTACAGCAGCATTGGAGGTGGTGACATGCAGCATGGTCGTGGTGACAGCGACGGCGGTGAAGAGAAGGTGCAGCTGGCTCGGTTGATGGGCACTTTTGCCGGCAAAGCATATCTGCTCTTCCCAGGCACACGCTTCGGTACAGTCGTACATTGGACGCCGACGGGGGTTGTGTGTGTGTGTGTGTGCGTGCGTGTGTGTGTCCTTTGTCTGTGTGTGTGTGTGTGTGTGCCTTTGTCTGTGTGTGTGTGGGGGGGGGGGGGGGGTTAGCGCCAACTTCTGTCTTCTTATGTGTACTTTGTCAGATCGTTGTTTGACCTCCCACAAACACCGAAGGTGTTGGGAGAGCGGTGTAGGATTCGAGTTTCTCGAAAGTTCAAGGAACAGTTCAAAGAAGCACGGTTCGCTGTGCAAGCTACTTCATCCTCTGGTTCGGGATCGCGCCAAGCATCAACGCTCGTGGTACTGCTGTTGTTGTTGTTGTTGTTGTTGTTGTTGTTGTTGTTGTTGTTGTTGTTGTTGTTGTTTCAGTTGTTGTTGTTTCAGTTGTTGTTTAAGTTGTTGCTGCTGCTGTTGCTGCTGTCACCTTAATCTACTTTTCCGTGCGATGTTCCGCTTCTCAATGCGATGCTGCGTGCCATGCCTGCCTTGTAGGGTGAGCTGCGGGCGCAAGGCAACACGGACGAGAGGCTGCGACGCGCTTGCCAAGTCCACGATGACCTAGGGGAGCAGTCGTACGCGTCGCTTTCTCACCTCTTTGAGGGCAACGTTGCCACGCGGGACGGTGCCCGCGACCAGTCTGGCCTTGACCCGCATCGACGCCAAGCAAGGCAAACGACGCAAGGCGAGGTTGATGTTCCGGACGTGCTTCAGTTGATGCTAAACAACGTCCTGGAACAGGAAAAGGCCCAGACCAGCGCACGGGAACAGTTTGCAGCCCTCATCGCCTCACAGACGAAGGCAATCGAGGAGCAGACCAAGACCAACAAGGAGCAGGCCCAGACCAACAAGGAGCTCAGGTGTGGCGAGGGCTCTTGCAGGGCAACAAACACACTCTCGTTCGCGCACTCTCACTCACACACACACACACACACTTACGCGAATGCACTCGCACGCACAGTCACACACTCACACGCACACACTCATGCACGCGCACACGCACACACTCATGCACGCACACACTCATGCACGCACGCACTCATGCACACGCACGCACTCATGCACGCACGCACTCATTCACGCACGCACTCATTCACGCACACACACACACACACTCACTCATTCACGCACACACACTCACACGCACACACTCATGCACGCACGCACTCATTCACGCACACACACACACTCACACTCACACGCACACTCACACGCACACACTCATGCACGCATTCATGCACGCACGCACACACACACACACTCTCATGCACGCGCGCACACACACACACTCTCACACGTACGCACACACACACACACGCACACACACACACTCATGCACGCGCACACGCACACACTCATGCACGCACACAAACATGCACGCACCGCACTCATGCACACGCACGCAACTCATGCACGCACGCACTCATTCAACGCACACAACTCATTCACGCACACACACACACAACACACACTCATTCACGCACACACACATGACACGCACGCACTCATTCACGCACGCACTCATTCACGCACACACACACACACACTCACTCATTCACGCACACACACTCACACGCACACACTCATGCACGCACGCACTCATTCACGCACACACACACACTCACACTCACACGCACACTCACACGCACACACTCATGCACGCATTCATGCACGCACGCACACACACACACACTCTCTCATGCACGCGCGCACACACACACACTCTCACACGTACGCACACACACACACGCACACACACACACTCATGCACGCGCACACGCACACACTCATGCACGCACACACTCATGCACGCACTCATACACTCACACTCACACTCACACGCACACACTCATGCACGCGCACACGCACACACTCATGCACGCACACACTCATGCACGCGCGCACACACACACTTTCACACGTACGCACACACACACGCACTCATGCACGCTCGCGCCCCAGGGACTGCATTGGGACCCTCGTGGCTGCCGTGCGGAGCTTGCGTCGCCGGCAGGACAAGAAGTCGTCTTAACACCACTCTTTCTGTCTCTGCTTCCATATTCAACCTGGTTTGACTATGTCTGTTGTGTCTCTGAGTTGGCATTGTATTTGTTGCTGTGTACGACGGAGCGTAATAGAACGAACTACCCGCCAAAGCATGCACTCATGTAACAACGCCCACACGCACATCTACACACGCAACCTTGCATACACACTGCGTCCACGTCGACGCATACACGCGCGCACACGCACACACGCACACACGCACACACGCACACACACCAGCACTGGCGCAATCACGACAGCTGCAAGGTGTGTGGGCGTTTGGCGGCGTGGTTCCCCGCTTGTTGTCTCGGTTGCTGTTGTTGTGGCCGTCGTTGCGCCGCGATGGCAAGCATGAATGGAAGCAATGAGCGCCTGACCCTGAAACGGTATGGTCGTTGTGCCTCGGGTTCCTCTTGTCTCTCGCGGTAGTTCTGCACGGCCTTTTTCTTGAGGTCGTCTTGCCACTTCAACGCGCGCCGTCGGGCAACCTTGGCTGAGGTCTCCTTGCCTCGGCTTCTGCTGCTGCCATTCGCCGCGCTGCTGTGCGATTCGTCGTCGTCGTCGTCATCATCATCATCATCATCATCATCATCATCGTCGTCGTCGTCATCATCATCGTCGTCGTCGTCGTCATCATCATCGTCACCGTCGTCACCACAACCCGCTTCCTGTTGAGCCTTTGACAACCTCTCCCTGCGGTGGCGCTTGCGTGCCTCCTTTGCTTGCGTCTCATCCTGATACAGCTGTTCAACAAAGTCCGCTCCGTCGTCTTTCTGGCGAAGTAGAAAGTTATGCAATGCGCAACACGCGACAATGTACAGCCGCGCTGTAAAGAAGGTAAGGTTGACAAGGCACGACATGAATGGGCGTACAAATGCAGATAAGTGTGATGACTAGAGCCAACCGTAGCAGGTACAACCGATCATCCGACAGCACACGGACAAGAGAATGGGGGGGGGGAGGTTCTCACCTGTATCCTCGCAGGAGGAGAATCCTGTATACAGGATCCTGAATCTTGATTTCAGGATCCCGAAACAGGCCTCCACACGGGAACGCCTACGAGCGTGCTGGAGGAACAAGGCGCATGTGAGTATCAATGCACGTGTGTGCATGCATTTCAGTGAATGCATGTATGCATGTGTGTGCTTGTGTGCATGCATGTGTGTGCTTGTGTGCATGCATGTGTGTGCGTGCGTGCTTGTGTGTGCGTGCGTGTGTGTGCGTGCGTGCTTGTGTGTGCGTGCGTGCTTGTGTGTGTGCGTATGTGCGTATGTGTGTGCATGTGTGTGTGTGTGCATGTGTGTGTGTGTGCATGTGCGTGTGCATGTGCGTGTGCATGTGCGTGTGCATGTGCGTGTGTGTTTGTGCACTCATGTGCAGCCGACATGCGTGGACCCTACCATGTAGTTGAATATTTCCTCATCCGACTGCGGTCCTCCCCGGGACTTGAACGTGTCCAGGTGATAGGTGACTCCACGAATGGGCGTCAGCCATCTACACGCACACGCCCGCGCACACATACGGTGTGAGGCAACAGGCTTCACCGATTTAAACACCGCACAAACACGATTGACACACACAGACACACACAGACACAAACACACACACAGACACACACAGACACACGCATGCACACACTCTCACACACGCATGCACACAGACACACGCATGCACACACTCTCACACACACGCGAGCGGCCACTCACCGTTTATGGGTCAGGCGCATGGCAGCGTCGAATAGTCCGAAGCTCCCTTCAGGCAGCTTGGAGGTGAGGTCAGCAGTTGCCACGACACTCGCGTCGTGGCAACTGCCCTCACAGCCAACGACGACGTGCTGTATCTTTGTGGTGCGATGCGCATCATGGCAGGCTATGAGGTGACCTGGGTCGGTAATTGGCGGCACAGCTTCGCACACACACACACATCGCACAGACACATCGCACAGACACAGACACAGAGACACAGACACACACACACACACACAGACAGACAGACAGACACACACACACACACACACACACACACAGACAGACAGACACACACACACACGCACGCACAAGAACAGCGAACCTGTCTGTCAAACGAGGCGCAAACAAGGACGTTCTGGGACTTGAAGCCCTTTCTGTTTCGCCAACGCTCCTGTATCGCACACATACACAAGTATGCGCAAGTGCGACGTTGTGGGCACATGCCATGTGTCGGACGTGAGCGGTGTGAGACGAGAGCGGGCGCTATATGAATGAACGACACGATGGGGACACAGAGCAGAGGCCCAAGCAAGCAGTGGGAATAGAGTACAGGGCACTGTAGGTCATTCACGGACCTCGTGGCCATTCGTCGTTGGGGTGTATCTGATGTGCACGCCATCGGCAGCCGTGACACAGCCCTCGAGGAAGTCATCCTGAGCCCATCGCCGCTGTTCCTCCTTCAGCTCTTCCCCAGTTGGAAACGAGATGTTGTCGAGTCCATCGATGATCGCCTTGGCGAACGCGGGGAAGTGCGTACTGCACATGGACTTGCTGATCCCAATTGAGAACTGCACAGCCTGAACAAAGCACACGTGCGGAAACAACACGTGAGCGAGGTGGCCAAAGTACCTACGGGAAAGATCAACGACGGGAACAACATGCAACACGCACGCACCTGAAGAGAGCAGCCGTGAGCAAACATCCACAGCAGGCCGACAAGGACGACGCGATCGGGCACGTCAGTCCCAGGGCGTTTGGGGAGGTGCGGAGAAATGATATCAAGCAACTCCCAGAACTGATCCTTGGTGACACGGAAGTTCTGGCGAAACGTCTCATTTGGCAAGCCAAAGATGTCCTTCTCGCGCCTAATGGACGGCAGCACCATCGACAAGAACGAGCGACACACACACACACATACGCGCGCGCGTGTATGAGTATGCGGGAGAGCCATACAACGCAGTTTGCCATGCATACTGGGATCAAAGCGTACCTCGGAAACGTGCGCTGCTCCCACGACCGTCGTGGCTTGTACTGTGCAGCGACGTAGACGAGTAGACGAGCAAAGGCGTGGGTACTCGTGGCTGTACCCTCTCCAAACACGCTCATATTGGGGGAAGGTGACAGTTACCGTCCTCAGTTGGCTCGATCGGTGCAACAGGTTCGACTGACCGTTACCGGACTTCGCACAACCGTCGGCGCCATTACCCCAAATTACCACCCTTTCACAAGTCGGGGGATGGTAATTTGCAAATACGTCGGATCAACCAATTACTCCACATTGCGTGGCCGTGAACGCAGTATTCGACCCAAAACTACCCACAATTACTCGCTGTGAACGGGCCCAAAGTTGAGTTGTCTTCATCGTGGTTTGGTTTGTTTGGATTGTAGAAAGGTACTTGGAGATATGGCAAATGGTCTTATTGATGTGAGACACAAAACACAACACTCCACAAAAACACACACGCACACGCACACACGACACAAACAAACAACACACGCACCCACTCGACACAAACAAACAACAACACACACCAACACACAACAGGAACACACACGCAAACGCAAACACATACACAAACACACACAACAGAACACACACATGCACACACACGAACATACAACAAGCTCGTGTCAAATAAACTTCCATCAACCATCAGCATCACAAAGGAAACCGAACCACGCACTGCGCCGAGTGACAAAGCCTGCCTGGTTGCGTGACGACCACACTCGACATACGTCAACAATAACGCCACTCCCGCAATTAGCTTTTGTGTTGGACATACACCTACAGCCCTACTACAAAAAGAAGAAAAAAACAAAGAAAGTCAAGGATGATGATGATGATGATGATGATGAAAGGGGGGAAAGGAGACAAAGGTGCGCGCGAGCGCGAGCGTGAGAGAAAAGACCGAAAGAGGAAGGAAGGGAAAAGGAAAGGAAAAGAAACCAGTGTTGTTAAACCCAAACGAGGAAGGATGGCGCCTTCGCTGATCGCCACATGCACACGTCATCATCACCACGAAAAACAGGAGCCACATCATGGAGATGAGAGGCCTGCTACGCGGCAGGAGGCTGCTGCTGTTGCGGTTGCTGCTCTTGTGGTTGCTGCTCTTGTGGTTGTTGCTGTGCGTCTTGTGGTGGTACTGCCTGCTGTGTGGGCGTCGGGGTGCTCTGCGATTCCTGCGCAGGCGGCTGCTGGTGCCCGGCACCAGGCTGTGGGTCACCCTCCTGAGGTGCGGCTTGGAGCTGCATTGCTTGGGGTGGTGGGGCTTGGGGCTGCTCAGCTGCTTGTTGTTGTTGTTGATGTGGTGCCTGCTGTTGTGGTGCCTGTTCAGCTGCTTGTTGTTGTTGATGATGTGGTGCCTGCTGTTGCTCATTACCCTGGTGCTCCTGCTGGTCCTGTTGCTGCTGCTGCTGCTGTCCGGCGGCCTCCTTCTCCTTCTTTTCCTTCTCCTTCTTCTCCTTCTTGAGCTTCTTGTGCTTCTTCTCCTTCTTCTTCGCCTCCTGCGCCCGCTGTATCAGCGACTTGCACGGCTCCTCCAGCCGAAGGTGCCGCACAAGCACAATCACCGCCACCCGGTCCGGCAGCGAATTCACGTTGAGCGTGTTTAGGGCAGGCAGGTCCTCGCGCCCGTGCACGCAAAAGTGGTACGCAATCGCCTCTGGCCTGTTGATGAGGAAATCCATGCCGCGAATCATCTCCATCTGGTCCTTCATGTCGTGCAGGAAGCCCGAGCTGACCAGCGTCTTGGTGAAGCCGAGCGCGTCGCTCGTGCGGCAGTTGATGGTGAACGTCACCGTGAACATCTTCTTGTCCTCGGGTTTCCTGATGCGCAGGTTGAACTGGTAGTCGCCCGGCACCAGCTCTTTGTTGCTGCACAGCTTCTGCAGGTGCTGCTGGATCCCACCAAGCGCTTCCTGCTCCATAATCAGCGGCGGCTTGCCGTTGCCGCTGCCATTGCCACCACCGGCCTGCTGCTGTTGCTGCTGCTCTGCCCCTGCCTGGCCTGGGGTGGCCGGTGCCTGTACTGTTGCGGGCGTGGAGGTGGTTGATGCTTGCACGGGCTGCTGCACCACAGGCTGCTCCGGGGCCGCCACGGCCTGCTGCTGTTGCTGCTGTGGTGGCTGCTGTTGTTGTTGCTGCTGTTCCTGCGGTGGCTGCTGCTGTGGCACGGCGTCAGAAGCCGCGGGGGCGGTGGCGGGGGCGGTGGCTGAGGGCGCTGGGGAAGGGGTGGACACGGTGGTGTCGAAAGTGACCTGCCCGGACGCCCGTGACTCACCACCGTCCGCCGACGACGCGAGCGACCCAATGTCACTCCCTTGGGACGGCGTTCGCTCAACCGGCTGCTGCTGCTGCTGCTGCTGTGCTGGCTGCTGCTCTTGTGGCTGTTGCTGCTGTGCTGGTTGCTGTTGTTGTTGTTGTTGTTGCTGCTGCTGCTGCTGCTGCTGCTGCTGCACGGGCTGCTGTGCCACAGGCTGTTCAACAGACTGAGGCTGCTGCTGTTGCTGTTGAGCGGCAGTGCCAGTGGTGGCAGTGGGCTGCTCGGCAGTTGGAGCAGCAGCATCAGCTGGTGGCTGCTCTGGGGTGAGGGTGGCTGGCGGCGTGGGGGTCGGGGTCTTGTGGCCGCTGGACGCCGTCTCACTGCCCTCCTCACGTTGCTGCTGCTGCTGCTGCTGCTGCTGCTGCTGCTGATCCATCTGCTGCTTCGAGCCGGCCGACTTCTTGCTGTACGGGTTGAGCGCCGCCAGGGCCTCCTGCACTTCGTCGTCCTCGCCAAAGTCCCACCCCGTGTCTGCGCCCGTGGCCTGGTGCACGGTTGACGCCGCAATCTCGCCGTGCACGGGGGTGAGGTGGGGCAGTAGTGACTCCTGCAGGTACTGCGACGGCACTTTCGATGCCTTCTGCTCGCAACAAGAGGAGATGCCATGGAGGAATAGGGGGTGGGCGATAAGCCGGGGAGGGGAGGCGTAGACACGCAGCACGTGCAGGATGCTTGTGTGAGTTCAGTCTCAGTGTGCGTCTTTGTGTGTCTGTGTGTGTCTGTGTGGGGGGGGGTGTCTGTGTCTGTTTGTCTGTCTGTCTGTGCGTGCGTCTGTGTCTGAGTATGTGTGTGTGCGTGTGCGTGCGCGCACGCGTCATCACCATCATCATCATCATCCTTATCGCCATACCTTGATGAATTCTGCCTTGAGGAGTTCAGCAGCTGTGGGCCGTTTGTCAGGATCGTACACTAGCACTTTCTTCAGCAGCTGCAGCGGACAACGGCAAACGTGGAAAAGGTGAAGGTTCATGAGAGAGAGAGAGAAGGCGTGCACGCATGTGAGTGAGTGTGTGCGTGTGTGTTTGTGGCTTGTGTCCATAGAAGAACAATTCAAGGCTGTCACCGGTCAGAGCACCCGCACAAACACTCACACCGCGTGCACAGCACGGCATGGTGTTTCTGACCTTTCGAAGAGACTTAAACGGTGAGAATTGGCGGCCCGTGAGCAGTTCGAGGTTGTCAAGGTCGGGAATGTACCCTTCAACCGCTTTGCGAAGAATCTGTACACAAGAAGGGGTGTGGGAGCATGGTGGTGAGGGGGGAGATGGCGGTGGGAAGGCTAGGAAGATGGATGAACAGACACACACACACACAACATGCACCACACACACACACACACGCACCACACAAACATGCAGCACACACACAGACAGGCATACGCGCACCATTGACATGTCGAGGCTTGCGTATGGCGCTGTGCCAGAGACCAGTTCGACGAGGGTGATGCCAAAACTCCAGATGTCAGCAGAGGAGCGGTAGGGTTTCTGAACAGCAGTCGTGGGCGTGGCCGTGGTCGTCAGTTTAAACGTGACATGGATGGGCGAATGCCATAAAGCCACCCAAATCTAGTCCACAACACGTGTGCAGCAGCGTACAGGGGTGCGTGTGTGCGTGTTTCTTGGTGTACCTGGTTGAGAATCTCTGGGGCCATCCAGCAAGGGGTGCCGGCCAGCGTTGTCTTGGACGCCTCAAACGTTTGCTGTTGAGGGACGCGTGACCAAGAGATCAATCAGACATGAGGGCCAAGGAGCGGTGGTAACGTTAGGGAGTTGAAGGCACACGTGCACACCTCGTCGGCTACGCACAAAGTGCATATGCGCGGACATACACACACACATACACACATACACACATACACATACACACAAGCAAAAACACATAAACATAGAATACAGCCCCTCCCCCTCTTCAACCGGACACGACATCACAAGCACCAATCAATACATGACGTCGATCCGTCACCAAACATAGGCAGCAGACCTTGGCGGCAGCGCGGCGCTTTGCGGTTTCGCGAAAGTGTTTCCTGTCGAGGGCATCGGTGACGCTCGAGGCGAGGAGGGAGCTGACGCCAAAGTCGCCAAGCTTGACAACGCCGCCCTCAGCAAGCAGCAGGTTGCCGGCCTTGACATCTCTGTGGCGGTGGAGTGATGGTCGGGTGCACACCGTACATACACACGCACGCAGCCGAGGGGGAGGGGTGAATTGCATGTGGGGAAGGAGAGCTGAGGCAGCATCGCATCGTCAAGTACGAACACACGACGCACGCGCTTGCACACATGCACACATGCACACGCATCCACGCAAACACAACGCATCCACGCAAACACAACGCATGCACGTAACAGCGGCACGGGCAGCACGGTGCGGACCTGTGGATGACAAAGTTTGAGTGGAGGTAGTTGAGGCCTTCGAGGACCTGCTTTGCAATGTTGGCGACAGTCAGGTCGTCCATCAGCTCCGTCTTGTCCGCAGTGGACGGAAGCTCTGACGTGAGGGCGGCGGCGTGGAGAGGGTGGTGACGAACATGGTGAGGGTGTTGTGCGGGTGTGGTGGTGGTCGTGGCGAAGGTGGTGATGATAGTGCAATGCGAGGGGTGAAGACAAGAAACCGGGCATAAAGGGGGAAAGTGTGCATTTGGGTCATGGAAGGGAGGTGAACGCAGTCGTGTGAGTGCACACGCACTTCGCCGTGGAGGTGCAATCTGCAGAAGAACATCAGCAAAGGAGCCTGTGGATAGCAGAAACGGTTTGATGGTTGGGAAAGCGCGGCGTGGGGTGGTGTTCGAGGTGAGATGGCGGCAGCAGCAAGGTTAGTGCCAAGGTTCGGACCAGTTGCAACAGCACATGCTCGTACGAACATGTGCACCCACGAGATCATGAACGCACGAGCGTGTGCAAGCACACATCAATGCACACATCAACGCATACATTAACGCACACATGAGCGCACACATGAACGGGCCGTCTGACCGTATTCGCAGAGTTCCATGACAACGTAGAGTTTTGTCTCGTGGGCAAAGGAGGTGAAGAGCTGGAGGAGGTTTTCGTGGCGCAGACCACGCATCATCATCAGCTCGTGCTGGGCATCCGTCAAGTCAACATCCTCAGACTCAAGGTTGATAATCTGTGGGTTTGGTATGGGGGAGGGGTGGTAATGATAGTGGTGGTGGTGGTGGTTGGTGGTGGTGGTGGTGGTGGTTGGTGGTTGGTGGTGGTGGTGGTGGTGGTGGTGGTGGTGTGAGCAGCATGGTACGACACATATGGTAGCAGTGCTGTGTAAAGATGACCAGCAGTATCCGCATCATCATCATCATCATCATCATCATCATCATCATCATCATCATCATCATCATCATCATCATCATCATCATCATCATCACCACCACTGCTGCTGCGACGCACAAAATCCCACCACCACCGCCATTCACCATCATCATCATCATCATCATCATCATCATCATCATCATCATCATCATCATCATCATCATCATCATCATCATCATCATCATCATCATCATCATCACACGCAAGCTGCGGCATCATTGCTGCTTGAATCACAAACACGCGCACGCACACTGGCGCATGAGCGCATGGTACCTTGAGAGCGCACTGCCTGTTGCCGCATGTGGCAATTTGCACGCTGGCCGTGGATCCCGACCCTACAAACGTAGCGATACATCGCAATCCACCACGCATGTGAGCACTGGCAAGGCAACGACAAACACGTCAAGTGTGGCTCTCGCGCCTAAGCTTCCACACCCCCTTACGCTTCCCCCCCCCCACACACACACACCACACACACACACCGCACATAAACACACGCGCGTGCGCGTACCGAGGACGCGCTTGTTGGTGTAGGCGCCCTTGTTGGTGGGCCATGGCTCCACGGCCGAGTCTGTGGTATCGGCAGGCGGAGGTGACTTGGACATGTCTGGCTGAGTGGTGGCTCACAACAGATGACTCTGCAAGTCACAAGGACAACAAAAGGGACGGAGTGGAGGCGGAGCGGCTTGCTGCTGGCCCTGCGTGACCCTTCCTGTCACCGGCAAGGGGGGAGAGGCCGTGGAACCGCACAGCGGAGTGGAATCCAGCGCCAATCGAGGGGGATAGGGGCCAGGTTTGGTCAAGTTGGTCGTGATAAGAGACGTTGGTTGTGACAGCAGGTGAGCTGTGTGGAGGATGGGATTGACTGTTGGTCAGCAACGGTTCCGAGAACAGTGCTAACGTGCAAGCTGTAGTCGAAGTGATGATGCAAAGGCCGACGTACACATCAGAAGGAGAACACCAAGGGGAAGGGGGGGCGCAAGTCGTGAGTCGAGTGGTGAGGGCGGATCGGTAATGGCAACGGTGGTGGTGATGATGATACACAGTAGACTAAGCTGAAGGAAAGAAAGAAGGAAGGAAGGAAGGGGCATATGAAGCGGATGCAAGGGATGTGTGAAGCATGTCGCCACAAACCCACACACACACGCCACACACACGCCACACACACGCCACACACACACACACGTTTGTCCACACTCATGCCTCAAAAGACTGATTTGGCGACAGATGACTCACGCGCTGGTGAGGCGGGGAGGATGACGAAGGTTTGCGCTGTCTTCTTCGAAAAGAAGGAAGAGGTAAGGCACAGCACAGCACGATCTCGGCAACCACCGCGTCTGCAGAAAGCGCACAGGCGCACAAACAAACACACACAAAACCAAGAAGGAACAAGGGACGCTGGTTGGTTGGTTGGTTGTGGATGTGCGTGTGGGTGTTGGTGGGAGGGGGTGCATGCACTTTTGGGTGCCTTCTCGTATGCACGCGTGCTGAAGCGAGCAAGCCAGCTAGCTAGAGAGCGACTGAGCGAGCACGCCTTCCACCCTCCTCTTGCCTGTGCTTGACTGTGTTGCCAAAGACGCAGAAGGAAGCCAGGGAGCACCACCACACACAGGAAGAAGGGGAGAGAAGAAGCGAGGCACACTTTTGCTTGTCTGGCTGGTCTGCCTTCTTGCTCTGGATTTAATTTTTTTTTTTCTTCTGGTGCGTTGGGGCGCGATTCGCTGGAAGCTTCCAGCAAACAGCAAAAATTGTAAAATACGGCAAATTTTCGAGTTCCGGATTTCTGCATCGACATCACAAAAAAAAACAAGGGCAAAGTTTGATTTGATTTCGCGAGGGATGCTGCGCGAAGAACCGAGGAGGAGGGGGTGTAGTTGCGTGAGTTGTTTGCGTGCTTGGTTGTGTTGTGTTGTGTTGTGTTGTGTTGTGTGTGTGATGGGCGCCGAGTGTGCGTGTTCTGGCCACACAAACCATTTCCAGAAGAAACCGCGACCATGAGTGAGGGCCACATCGACTACTACGAGCTGCTCGGGGTGCGTGCGCTCTCTGGGGGTGCGTGCGCTCTCTGGGTGTGCGTGTGGGTGTGGGTATGCCTGCATGCGCTCCCCCAAGAACGCGCTCTGCCTGCCGACGCGTGTGGCTGCCTGTGTCCTTGGTCGTTGCGGCTTCCTTCTGCTTTGTTGTTGGTTATGAGTGCCCGCCACGACAGCCCCCTCATAACCGACCCCCCTCACACCCAACACCCCCCCCCCTTACACACACACACACACACACACACACACACACACACACACACACACACACACACACACACACACACACACACACAAACAGTGTACCTGCCTTTTTTATTCGTTAAGGAGGGGAGCAGAGCTGGTTAGTTAATTTGCTGGTCTATAGGCTACCACATGAGAGAGAGAGTGAGCAAGGGACTAGACGCTTCAAACTATTCTTAAGCT